GTGCAAGATCGAATGGTATTTTGGGGGAAGAAACAATGGCTGGAGTTTATAATCTGGAAAATGAAGCACACAAGAAAGCTCTCAAGTTTTCAGACCCAGAATTCTGAAGAAGGGGGCACCCCTTAGTGGTGGGCTGCAACAGGGTTTAGAAAGACATTCCTTTGAGTGCAAGGACTATGTCTTATTAATCATGGCCCCAGAGCACAGTAACTGACAAATTTAGTAGGGGTTTGACAAATGTTTAATGAACATGTGGGCTTGGAAGCAATAATAGGACATTCCAACAAAAACATTCCTTGGACAGCTGAAATACAAACTGAGGGATAGAGATGGATTATTGCCCTGTCCCACCCCTATTCCCGGCACCCACCAGGAGAAGGAAGAAGAGTTAGTCAAGGTGACAGAGAAGCAACAATCAGAGAGGTAGGAAAACAAGGAAAATTAATATCTTGGAATCGCAGGACAATGTGGAATAGTAGCATTATCAAACACCACACAAATAATTTGGTGGTCACTGGTAGGTTTTTAGAGAGCAGATATAACAGCATAAAAACACAGAGTTCAATGATACTTGTTGGTGGGGGAGGATATAAGGGTATCAGCCATGTGGCAATGTTCCTGCATTGGACCGGTGTTACATGGCATTGGAATGTATCAGGAAGGGTTTCTGGAGCGCTAACTTCGTACTCCCTGTCTCTGTACTGGGTAGTGCAGGGGGTATCAGTCAACCTGAGTGTTGGACCTGAGATCATAGGCGACTGGGAATTAATGGGATGTTAAGAGACCAAGAGGAAGTGTAGATATCCTTTGAAAGCTCTTCAAGTTATCTAGCCTTTCTCTCAATTTACATAGATTAAAGGGTTGAGTCTCAATTACGTTTTAAATCAAAAAGGTCAATATATGTTGACATAATGCAATCTTAAAAAAGAATAACCAACAAGTCAGGAAACATTTGGATGGACTACTAAGCTCGTTCAAGCATATTTTATTTGGCTATTATGAACAACCCGTAGATGGTATTGATCAAACCCTTGCTGTCAGCCTTGAGCAGTGCTGCCTGTGAACAGCCAGGGCTTGCCTCATCCTGGGGTGATACATGACTGGATAATCATAAATTAGATAGAAGGCAGGCAGGGGTCTAGGGTTAATAGAACCACGTGGTTCTCAATTTTCTAAGTTACCAAATGTCAGTCTCCCTTCTGTTTGGGTCTTAGGAAGAGGTCACAGGCTTGCAAAGAGTCACGACACCCACCATCATGTAGAGAAACTGTGTGATCAGTTCTTCAAGGTCTGGCACATCATGTTGATAAGGTTGTTAGCTGGATTCCAAGTAAAAACCAGAAGGCAGCTTGGGCTCCCTTTAAAGAGTCAGGGAGTCCTAGACAAGGCAAGTCAGTCTATTTCTAAGGCTTCAAAGTGTTCAGCCATATGACTTGTGTGGAACAAAGTCCTGAGCTTCAGTCATTCAATATTTTAAATTCACTGATTTCTTGTAACTTTTACACAGATTCCCAAAGGCTTTTTCTTTAATGGACCAATTGAATAGACCATGGGGTCAGACTGGGGTTTTTGTAATAGCCGAACTCTAGGTTTCTTCATCTGATAAAGAGTCCCTGGGTGGTGCAAACAGTTAACATGCTCAGCTCCTAACTGAAAGGTTGGAGGTTTGAGTCTACTCAGAGGAGCCTCAGAAGAAAGGCCTGGTGATCTACTTCCAAAAAATCAGCCATTGAAAACCACAGAGAACACAGTCCTACTCTAACACACATGGGGGCACCATGGGTTGGAGTTGACTAGATGACAACCGGTAGCAGCCTATCTGATAAAAAAGGCTCAGAATTCTGAATCTGCACCCTCTTTACCTGGCAGCCCAAGACGTGATGCGTATGGGGCTCCAGCTGGCTCAGAAGCTGTCCCAGCTTTGTCAGAAAGAGCAGGCCACGACTGCAGCCATGTGACAACCATACGCGTGAAACTTTTCCAGTTCCGGCGGCCTTGGTTTTGCTGAGATATCGTTAAAAAACTAAATGGCCGAAGGACTTTGTTTTGCAATGATATATATCACTTAGGTTTAAATGAGGGACTATACGTGGTATTTTGAGGAAAGAGACATCAGTATATGTTTAAGAAGAACCACCGATTTTCTTTCTCTCTTTTGTAACTACCTGAAGGTCCACATGCCACTGGATGTGTAAAAGGAACCTTACAATGCAGAGAGAAGGATCAGCCATGGCTTCCTGGGCCAAGGCCATTTGGAATAAAACGTAGCTACAGACTTGCTGATACATGACCACGTGATGTGCCTGCGGTGGGTCGGTGAGGAGAAAGTAAAAGGGCAGCGTAAACAACCTCCACCCTAGTAACCAGAAGAAGTCCTTCAAACCACTCAGGAAGTCCTTGAAACTACTTAGAAAATCAAAATGAAAAACATCCACTCTGTCTTTGCAGACATTTCTGGAGAAGAGTCTTCCCTACTTCCCTTATCCCTTCATTTTTAGTACATTAGGGATTTGTGGATCTCAAAAATTCCTGAAACAAAAAAATCTGATTACTTTTATTTGATGTTTAAAGAAAAACAAAAGAAAACAAAAAACCCAAAAAACAAAGGCTACAGATTGGGACAAAATAGCTAATTAAAGCCTTGTCAGTTTGAAAGAGCCTGTGAAGTTCATGTAGGAATGTTATGCTGTTCTTGTTGCTGTCAAATGGGCTACGTTTATCAGGGATTGGGGCAATGTCCTGTCAAATTGTGTACTTTGAGAGCCCTATGAGAAGTCCTGGTGGCACGATGATTTAGCACTCTGCTGCTAACCGAAAGGTCGGTGGTTCAAACCCACCAGCAGCTCCGAGGAAGAAAAGACCTGGCAATCAGCTCCTGTAAAGATTTACAGCCTAGGAAACCCTATGAGACAGTTGTACTCTGTCATACAGGGCCCCATAAGTTGGAATTGACTTGACGGCACCTAACTATAACAATGGGGAGGAATTTCAGAGTAGCTGCTCCAGCTCTGGCAATTATCTTTGTAAAGGATTAGCGCATTTTATGATTAGAACTAATTTTTCAGTCTCAGCTTGTAACATTGCCCGTGTCCTCCCAGTGTCAGGATTTCTGTAATGAATCTGACTGTGTTTTATTGGCTGAATGGTCAGTTCCACTGTTGGGCAATGACATGTGATTTTCTTGCACTAGCCTAGCATTCGTGATGACCCAGCTTCCCTGTAAAGCTGCCCTTGGAAAAATCTTGGGTCAATAATACCTCTTCCTCTATCAACACTTAAAATATCAACATCACTCATCCACTAGGCAACTTCAAACCATGAATCAGAAACATATACCACATTTTAAAAAGTCTAAAAATGCACATTCTTGATCAGCTTACATTGTGTACAGAATTACATTAGCAGAAAAGAGTCTAAATCAAAGGAAAGGTTATTGTTCTGTGAATTATGTTCTGTAAACAATGGCCCAATGAACTGACTTTTCTATTCCATCTGATCTTTTTTTTTTTTAAAATGTACCAATGAACATAAACATGCCAGAAAGAAAAGTGACCAAGACATGAGGCTGGTGTGAGTGGGAACTGCTGATTATGAAGGCAGTGAGATTTTCCAGTATCCACAGGCTCAGCATCCACAGCCTGCACCTCGGAGGGGCCTCCATCTGCAGCTGTTATTTGTGCTCTAGTAATTGCTGGATCTCAGGGGACACTGAGTGACCCAGCAAGGACCGGATGAAGAGGCTGGGGCAGGGAGGCGGGGCTGTGGAGGACACCCCTCAGCGGAGAAACAAGCATATTTCTGCACAAATAACAACTTCAAGGAGAACATCGGACTGAAACAAGAGTTCCAAGACAATGACTCATAAGAAGGAATTAGGCTAATGTTTAGCGGTTACCAAAGGTTTATTTGGAATGGCACAACACTGAGAACGTGTTACAGATGACTTGTGGATACAGCACACATCACCTATCTTATTTTAGGACAATCTGTGAAGATGAGTTGCATAAATATAAAGAGGTGGAAATATATAGGAGCCTTTTTCTTTTTTAATAGTGTTCTTTTGGGGGTAGATTTATATGCCCCATCATCTAGCCAATCTCATAAAAATAGAAACTAAGACTACTCAGCTGCTTATCCCAACTGGTCTACCTCCAGCCACAGCAGCTGGACATCAAGAGAACCAGGCTCTGCTTTCTCCAAAGGGGCAGCAGCTCTGCCTTGCTATTTGTCATCTCATCCTGCAAAATGCAGGTTACAAACACAGATACCATCGACTGTTTTGGCAATGGGATGGCTGGTTTTGCCCCGAGGCAAAACTGCACCTGTAATGCCAGACAGAAGAGCAATGCATGTATCAATGACACTTGAGAGGCAAAGGCTACGATGAGCAGGGAAGAATTCAACTATGCGTATGTAGACGTCTGCATACACATAGATCCAGGAGTCATGGGAACTAGCCTGTGTGACTGTGTGCGCATATATACACAGATATATGTAGTTGCACTGGAAAAGAACATTGAAAACTTTCGCAGAGGTTTGGTTTTCAACACAGTAACCTCAAAAGGGTGAGAGGGAGAGAGCACGTGCTCACACCGGCGTGGGGGGTTAAGATAATCTCAGACTACAGGGTAACTCATCACGTCTTCTGCAGGGCAGCCACTCAAGACCACACACTTGGTGCAGGGAAATTCTGGTTCTGGTCTGGAGGAAGCTAATTTAGAAGTGGTGGGAGGGGACCAAGTACAAGAGTCACCACAGCTTGGACAAAGCACAAACAAACCTGTTATCGATAATGTGGGAATGAGTGAGGACTTTTTTCTTTAATTCACTTTTTTTTTTCTCTTTTACTTTGTTTTGCACACATGCTCCTTTGAGCTGTCTTTCCAAGCTTTGTCTGGCATCGGTCTGTAAATCATTAATAATATAATAGCAAAACGCTTCAGGTTTCCACAAAGGTTTAAAAACCCAGCAGCCAAGCACTTTCTGCAATACTTTCGGCCCTAATCCAGGCGCCGGGTGAAGTTCTCTGGGAAGAGGCCTTTGTAGGTGGCAAGGTCTCTGAACTGAAGCCAGTCTGACTCCTTCACTCCCACCAGCCAGCCTGCGTCCTGCAAGACAAAGACAGGGCTTTCAGGATCTAATGAGCCACTCGAAAATCCCCACTACCAACGATTAATAAAATACTCAGGGTCCAATGAAATCACTTGAAAAATCCCCTCAGCCAACAATTAGTGAAATATTCACACTCCAATGAAACGAATCAAAAAATCCACACTGCCGATCATTAATAAAATAATTTGTTAGAATGGCATGTGGTCCTCTACCACGATGTCACAGTGTGCTTCGACCAGTGGGAAAACACGTCCCAAATAATCTGTTACTAAAAAAATTAAAGAATGGACACTTGAAATGATTTATTTTCTGTACAAAGTATAATTAATCGAAGGTTAACATTAATATTGTAATTCTGTATAAAGTATAGCTAACTGATACTAACTGGATTATAATAGCAGTTCTTAAGGAAGGTGGAAAAGGATTAGAATTTTAGGCAGTGCAAAGAGAGGAAGACGTGTGCAAAACATCGTGCACGTGAACACTGACTGACAGTGAAAAAAGGATTTGAGGATCCCTGGGTTAGAATATAGGGCTGATGAGGCCATAGAATGTCTCTATTTCATCCTGAACCACTTGCTTAGAAGAAATAACTCTGTTTCCCACTCACATCGTGTAACCCCAATCAACCACTATACATACACGGGGCTTGCCAAATTCTAAGAGCTAGATGTGTGTTGAATGATATTAATACTGTTGTTATAAAGCTTAATTTTTCAAGTTTCCATAAACTACAAAGTAAAGTTTGATGTTATGACATTCTTGTTGGAGACATTTGTATGTTCTTTATAAATTATTACTCTTAACATTTGTCTATCAGTGTAAGAGTGCCACCATAAAATATGAAGACAGTCGGCTACAGGATGGTTAAAAATCCCACCTGTGTACAGTCATAAAGCCATGGGAGACAGTGCTTAAAAGTGAGAAACGGCGGCCACAGTCGGCCCTCAGCCTACTGATGACAAACAGGATCTAGTTAGGAAAAACTGAGTTGGAAGGAATGTCTGAAAGATACAAACTGTATGAAGTGAAACTAGCAGGGAATGACTATCTTATTATGTTACCCAATACAGGAAGGGGACCCCACCGAAGACGAGCCATGACGAGATTTAATCTGAACCAATCCCCAACACAGTTCAAGTACATCAGATAAAACGAGGTCTCAAAAATCAAATAAAGAAGCTGAATACATTGCCTTTTGATATAATCTGAGACTATAAATTGTCGCTGCTGTACAAATAAGAAATATAAGCACTGAGACAGGCCAATTTTTGAAGGCAGGGGAAAAAAAATACTGAGAAAAAAATGACTTAATAAAATAACTGATAATAACCTAGCTGATGAGGAAAAGTGCCCTCTTTAAAATTATGATGTTATACTTGTGAAGGACAAAGATATACTCAAAGTAAAAGGTGATAACTAAATATTTTCTAAATGTCTAGTAAATATATAAAAGGTCATTTTTTCCCCAGTGTCTACATTTGATTTTATTTATAGTGAGTGAAAAATCTAATGGAATCAAGCAGAATCAAGCATTTAAAAAATGTTTCAATGAAGGGAAAAAAGTAAAGGACTGGCATAAACCCAACACATATATTCTGAAACACAACTTATAAGGTGAAGAATGTTAGTCATATCCAATTTTCAACTGAAGAAAATATGGAAAATTAAATTTTAACTGCTTAAAATATGTAGTAGACAAGTATTTCCAGTTTGGTAATGGCAAAATAGCTTGTATCAGAATAATGCTCTGCAAATAACAATTACAAACAATGGAATAACTATATA